TCTGATTCCCTCTCTAATGTCCAATGCAAGCTGAACCATCTCTTTGCCAAGGCAGAGCAGAAGGCTCCATCATTTAATCATTCCCAGCACTCAGGATCAGACAAGTTGCAAGGTCTGCATTAATATCAACACTCCAGTGACCTCTCACACCCCATGGCGCAGTGAGAACTCAATCTGACATTAATAAAGCCGAACACCAAACTGTTAGAAACTCAGAAGACACCAGGTATTACAACTTCCATAAATTACAGCCCAGCTCAAATGGCCCGTACAAGCAATTGTACAGTGATAAAGCCTAAGTGGATGATATTTAAACAGATATTTGATTTATGGCAGGATTTTACATCATGCTGGAATTCAAATGACAATTTACAAGTGCAGAGATGAGAAATCCCTGTCCCATACAAACTCTGTCAGAGCTGAGTGCTGAATCCTTCAGGAAGGAATCCTTCCCTCTGATGGGCTTGGGGCACAGAAGCCAAATGATAAAACAGGACACTTAAAAAGAGAATGAGCCAAGCTGCTGCTTCATCCCCAGGTAGGAAATAACATCCTCAGTCTTCTGGGATGTTTCTTGAACCTCATTTCTGCAAGGCAGCTGCCTGTGGTTCCTGCCACCTCAAAAATCTCTGATGGCAAATCCAAGTGTGTGTCTGTCAGGCTGTTCAGAGACGACAAATCATGAAGAGTGGAGAAGAGCAAACCCGTTTCTTTAGTGGCATCAGCTCCACTAAAATCAGAGAATTGTAAAGGTTGGAAAAGCCCTCCATGACCATCGAGCCCAACCTGTGCCCAATGCCCACCTTGCCACCAGCCCAGAGTGCCACGTCCAAGTGTTCCTTGGACACCTCCAGGAATGGGGACTCCACTCCAAGGCCTGAGCACCCTTTCCATGAAGAAATTCCGCCTGGTGTCCACCYTGCCCCTCCCCTGGCCCAGSCTGAGGCCGTTCCCTCTCCTCCTGTCCCTGTTCCCTGGGAGCAGAGCCCGACCCCACTGGCTGCCCCCTCCGGTCAGRGAGTTGTGCAGAACCACACCCTTTTCTCCAGGCTGAGCCCCTTTCCCAGCTCCATCTGCYGCTCCTGGGGTTCCAGTCCCGTCCTCAGCTCAGTTGTCCTTCTCCAGACTAATTATTAACCTGTTTTCCATCAGCAAAGAAATTGCATTTCGGACTCAAATCGGAGATGCCTCACGAGAGTCCCCCTGAGCAGCTTTTCACTGCAGCCTCAGAACAGCCCTATTAAGAAAATCAGCACAAAAAGGGGCCTCAAATTGTGCCAGACTTGGATATCAGGAAAATTTCCTCACTGAAAGGGTGGTCAGGCAATGGCTCAGGGCAGGGGTGRGGTCACGATCCCCAGAAGTGTTCAAAAATTGGGTGGATGTGGCCCTTAGAGACAGGGATTAGTGGTGGGCTTGGCAGTGCTGGGTTAAAAATATGACTTGATGAAATTAAAAGGCTTTTCCAACTGTCAAAATCTTGTGATTTCATGAAAATAAGAGCTGGGATTGCAGAGGAGGAATTGTGGGATGCACATTCTAGAACCGAACTTTAACACCCAAGCAGGTCACAAATTACTCCCCTGAGACCAGAAACCCTCATGTTCCCCAGCAATCAGCAACGGCACAGATAATTCTGGGKGATAAAAAAAAGAAAAAAATTCCATCAAGGGGAAGATTTATCCGAGAAAAACCATCGCAGGCTTCCAGTGGGATCCAGGAAAACCTCTGGGCCAATAGCTGGAGCAGCAGTAATTGTTCCAAATCTATCAATAAAGCTGASCTGCTCCTTCATTGACTGCAAACACCAATTTCTTTCATGGGGGATTATAAGTTGATGTTCATGGTCTCTCTACCACCATTAGGGTGATAAACAGTTGAGACTACATCAGGATTTGACACGCAGATCAATTCTGGGTCCATAAAGAATCTACACAAGAGGTTCCTGGACAGGGATTTACTGCCCCCAGTTTTTATTCTCTCTCGCTGCTAAAATTACTTCTGTCAAGCACTTACAAGAGCACGGAGGAGAAGGGGAAAAAAAAAAAAGGGAAAAAAGGCTAAAAAGAATTAATTTTTCATGTGCTGCTGGAACAGCCTTTTGAAATTTCAGGAGTTTTTAAGGCAAATATGTTCCTGCATCGGAAATGATGCTGAACAGCAGGTGGGACTGAGCTAAATAGTGAGCCAGCAGCACGAGCTGCTCACTATCCAGCACACAGCAATTTGAAACACCAAACTAAGCTGTCGAGATTTTCTCCCAGGGCAGTCGCGGGCTTCATGTTACCGGCGCCAAATTATATTAGACATTTAATTTTAAACCTCAGGTACTTAAATGTAAAACCTTACAACAGTAATAGTCATAAAGCAGTGGGGCATTCCATTTCAGAGAATGGATTTTTCTATTTTTCCCCTTTAATTTAACCAGCACCTCCTGTTTTGTGGCTCTGCCCACTACAAAGTAATTTATCTAATTAGGAGATGTTCACAGCTGCTTGAAAGACAGAAGCCCCAGGAAACCAAAGGTCTGGTTTGGAAGACTTTGAAAAGTTCTCTGGAGCCACACAAAGTATTAATTTAATGTGAAAAAAAGGTGCAGAGAAAAATTGAATCCCAATATGTTATTTTGTCTACAATAAAACCATGTGACAATAAGCAGGAATATTCTCCAGTACATTGGCATTTGAATTCCAAAAGATGCTTAGCTTCTTGCCATACCTGCTGCTTTCACAGTATTAGCTTTTTATGACTAAAATTCAAAAATCTTTTAATGGAGAAAAAACCCCCTGAAATTAAAAAGGGTTTTTCATGCGTCAACTTGCCAACATAAAGGACACATCTCTGAGCTTGCCCAAAGATGATACACTCAGCGCAATCAATTATTCTTGAGGTTTTGCAGGAGTTTTAGTGCAATCCTTCTGATTCTGCTGACCCTTGGTTGCCTGAAACTCATTGTCAATCCAATTTTCTCCCCATATTTACAAAAAAAAACAAACTTTTTTTTTTAATATTTGAACCTCTGCAAGAAATTATTYGAGTTAGGCTTATTCACAAGAACCCACCAGTCACCTGCAATTTAAAAATAAATATTTCACAGGTAATTCTGGCTGTCGTCTCTCTTGAGCCAGAAGTAATCCCACATGAAYGTCAAGTCAGAAAAAGGCAGAGCTGGGGTGGGAGGAAAGGTTCCCTTCACTAGGAATTGTAAACCAGCTCAGGTTCAGCAACAGGAGCAAAAGACAAATCCAGCAAATCCAGTGTTTTGAAGTTAAGGGAATGGCAAAAAGCAGGAATTCAGGTACCATTTCTACTTTTTCACGTTCTATTTCCACGCCACTTGTAGGAGTTCGCTGATTTTGAAGGTTTTTTTCCCCTGCAGACTCAGTTGTAGTTGGCACAGGGATAGATGCTCACCTGCCTGCAGCCTATACCTCTAGAACCAGCATTTAATATTCTTCAGCTTGCCTCAGAAAAACTACAGGATAAACGGCACAAAACAAGCCCAAACTTTGGTCTAACCCCTTAGAAAGGAAGTAGAGTTGGGCCCAAACTTTGGTCTAACCCCTTAGAAAGGAAGYAGAGTAGAGGACAAAGCAGCTCAGGAAAAAGAGAAAATGTATGATCTTAAGTGGGAAACCAGCTCAGCATCCATGCAGGGGCAACGCTGCGTCCCCTAAAAGCTTAACCAGGAATGGGTGAGCTGGGTGGACACACGAGAGAGCAGGGCTCTCTTTATTTCATTTCATTAATTTATTTCATTGTGCTGTTTCACAGCATCCCTGCAAGGTTCAATCAGAAAAYTCTCAGTCAAAATCTGGACCATTTTAATGGCAATTCTCCATTCTCCTGAAGGTGCTGCCCCCATGTTTAGAGCTCCAGAAATATCTATGCTTTGGTAGCTATGAATCTGATAGTTAATGCCATTCAGAGACAAGGTGATGATGGTTTTAAACCCTCTGTTCTTCTAAAGTGGCACTSAAAAGCCACTTTAGACACTCTCAGGGATATTCTCAGATTCAGACCTTATACACACACTGATATAAATATGGGACATGTGAAATAGTTCTGATATTCCCCTAACTGACCCCATTTATGGGCAGCCAACAGAAACAGCATTTCTTCCCTTTTTCCTGGCCTATTCCCACTGGTCTGGTACCAAATATCACATCTACCCTTTAAAAACAACCACCCCATCTCACTGCTACCATCTGATAATTCCAAAACACCATCAGGAATGGTGTCTGCTCTCTTTAATGCTGTTAAATGCTCCAYAGAGAAAACACTAAGGCTGTGTCAGGAATGTGCAGGCATTAGAGAAAGAGCACAGCAGAGAAAGGACATGCTGAGGAGATCTGGAGGGTCATTTACTGCTAATACCCACCACAAATGGGAATGAAATCTGAGAATCAAGCAAACAATCCACATTACAGGGCTGCCCCATGACTGGGAGTGTTTAAGGCCAGGTTGGACAGGGCYGGGATAGTGGAAGATGTTCCTGTYCATGGCAGARGAGGGTTTAAGGTCCCTTCCAACCCAAACCAGCCTGGGATTCTATGATTATRCACCTGAAATTAAAATTAAGCAGTATTGTAACTACTCACTAACTCTTCATGTTGAAAAGAGAATCACAGAATTCTTTCAGGTTGCTCCAAGCCCTGTCCAACCTGGCCTTGGACATTCCAGAGATCCAGAGKCAGCCACAGCTATTCTGGGCAAACCCTCCCTCACAAGGAAGGATTTCTCCCCAATATCCAATCTAAAYCTCCTCTCCTTTAGTTTACAGCCATTCCCCCTTGTCCTGTCACTCCATGCCCTCATCTCAAGTTTCCTATYGATCCATTCCCTTTTATCCAATTCCTCCTTTCCCTCAGACGCTGCTAGTTCTGCACCCCACAGCACATCGGGGTTGCATCATTCCACTTGTCCCTTTTGCAAACAAGAGCACCAAARTCCCCCTTGACCCCAAAGCACGTGACCCTCCCCAGCTCCAGGTTTCTTACCACTGCTAATGCCAGAGTTGGCAATGACTGTGGCCTCACTCCACTGATCTGCACTGGAGACCGAGTAGGAGCGCTGGTGCATACCGTCCGGGCGGCTGTTGAAGGACACCAGACTGATCCCACTGGCCATCTGAGACACAGATGTGCTAGTAGTCACGTTCCCTAGGCACAAATGGAAAACAAATCGTGTCAATAGAGAGGACAAAAGGGATTTTGCAGCAGGATGGATGGGGTGGTGTCTTAACAGGAGTAGAAACAGGGGTTACTTCACTGACACAAGYGCTGAAGATGACGGTGCTGAGAGCAGAGCTTCCAGCAGCTCAAATCTAGCCAAGATGACAAAAAAGCCAAAATTTTCACGGTATCACCTCATTCTGTTCATTCACCTTCTGGAAAACATAATCTTCCACCACCCTGCTACCAGCATGCTCTCTGCAGCTTCTCTGCTTGTTGTTAGACTGCACACAAAAAATCAATTTATTCCTGAAAGCCACTGTTTATACARCCGAGATGAGACAACTGAGCCAACTCCAGGAATTTAAAACAATCCACCTCTAAATAAAATCTGACACAGGGATGTCCCCCAAGAACACAATGATGGGAGCAAATGACTACCAGCACTGAGAGACCAAGGAYTAAAAAATGTCTTGGATATTTAATCTTAAAACAACATCGTGTTTAAAACAACAAAGCACACACTGGGCTGACTCAAGGAGCATTCCTGGATCTCGTCCCACATCTGGGACAGCAAAGCGGACACACAAAGAACAGCCTTTACKCCGTAACACTTCTGTATTTTCATCATCACTGAGACCTAGGACATTAAAATGCTGGGAGCTGTGTGTGAGGGGGAGTGACAGGGACAGGTTTCCCACCATAAAACAGCACAAGTGGGATCTGGTTGAATACATTTTAGAGCAGAAACAATTAAAACCTTCCCAGCAACTCAGCTTTCTGCTGGTCTTACTTACAGCTTGCTACGGGCCAAAACCTGCTCCACATTTGGGGTACTGAGCACATTTTACTCCATTCCTAGCCAGGTCTTGTGTATCATAAAGCCACAAAGAATTTACAGCACCAGTTTCATTCATGGCAGGCTCTCAAAAGGTGCCCCACAGGTCCTCTATGGATTGAAGAACGCTCTTAAAAAACACATATGCAGGGAAAGGAACAGACACCATATTAAAACATACCCTCACACTTTGCATTTCCATTGCACCTTCTACTGATGAGTTCAGAAAAATTAATGAATTAATTTTCAATGCTCCTGTGAGGTTGTTAATTATCTGCTATCATTTCCCCCATTTTTCAGAGGTTAAATGACCCAGGGCCACAAAGGAAGATTGTGGCAGACTTGAAAATAAAACCCAGATCTCCTGACTCCCAGTTCTATCATTATGTCTTTTCCCAGAGCAGCCTTTGGGAAGACWGCAGAGCTTAGTGAACTACTTTGTGTTTATTAGAGTTGGCATAATTGTCCCTTTCTCTCCTCCCCTTTCCCAAGACAAAATCTCCTCTTTAGTCCTTAACACRGATCCATCACAGTATCTGTGTCTTTGATGGACTTAGTCAGCCTCAAGAACATTGGCATGACGTGAGATACAGACAGAAAAACTCATYTGTTTAATTCTGCAAAGTCTAAGGTGGGTTTTGGAGCCATGTTGAGACCTGCCAAAGCATGAAATTACTGAGAAAAACATTCCATATTTTAAAACCACGATAAAAAATCAAACCGAGGCTGACAGGAGCTGCACTTTGTGCTGTCTTAAAGGAAATATCTCCTTCCAAATCAACTTCTGTGATGCTGCTGATGCTCACTTTGAGATCACCTTTTCTTCTGGTTTGTATAATCCAGAAAAATGATGAATATTAATAAATTATTTTGATGATTCAGCAAATGAAAGGGAGTGGCTGATGTGAATGACCAGAATTTGAGACKGAATGGGTTCTAGAAATTTGAGATTTAGGCCAACACAGACACAACATAAGCAGTGATTTTTAAGCTGATATCTTCCACTTAGTCCACAAGTTTTTCAACACAAAGTGTCCAATCACCTTCTAATCATGACACAAACAAACCCCAAAAAAACACCTTAAGAAGAGGACATCAAGGCATTTACACCATCATGGCAGCACCCAAAGATTTACTTTCACCTTAATGCCATCTGAGGAAACTGAATGTACCACACAAGGCCTCTCCAACACAATCCTATGGTTCTTCCCATCCACCACAGGGAAACCCCAATCCAGACCTGGCAAAARTCCTTTCATTTTCCTCACAGACAAAGCCTCGACAGCAGAAATCAGCTCAGTCTTTCAGCAGACAAGCAGGAGACAGTGAAGAAGAGGAGGCCAGCAATACTCAGTGAAGATGCTGATGGCCATACCCATGGCAGGGARGTTGGATGAGGTAAGATTTAAAGATTTAAAGGTCCTTCCAACCCAAAGCGTTCTGTGATTCTCTGATTCTCCGAAAAGCAAAGTCTGCATGTTGAGTTAGGCACATGAAGCTCTGCCATCCTGCATCTCCTGTCCCCCATCCACCTTCACATAAACCCCAAGCTGCTGGCCCGATACCTGGCCCACGCTGGAGCTGGGAAAGAGTTGCCTCTTCAAATGCATCCCACATGCATCAGCTGGTTGCTTAAGTTGATTAGCAGGGGGCAGTTAAATTACTATGCTAATCCATGTATTCGCAGCACTGTTTCCTTGATATGGATATGTGTATATGCTTACTGGGAAGCCTTGATTAGTTCAAGCTTCAATGTGTCAAAGGCTCCAGATTCTTTCCAAAGAATAATTTTAGCTGTACTCACATCCCTAAAGTGTGGGAGCTGATTTGAAAAGGTACTTACCTCTACCATATGCTATTTTTCTTTAAACAATTTGCATTTCAAAGGGAATATGGCATTTATATTTGAATGAATATCAGTATGTTGCCAGAACTTGTCTCAAATGAGCAAAAAAAAAGATGCTGGTCTCCTATTGAACAAAAATGTTTTCATCTACCAAAGGAGCATCAAAGGAAGARTTCCTCTTTCTAGCTCTAGACAGCTTTATTAAAACTATCTTTTCTGATGTTATAAAACACCCCGTTACGACCGCGCTTACAAAACGTTCAAACAATTAAGCCCCACAAAACCCAACCAAATTAAGATTCAAGGTAATTTCCAGGTTCGGCCACTGCTCAGCAGAAGAAACGTGAGCGTGCTCACACAAATCCCATTTATCCAGCCATTTATGCAGTGCAAATTGCTGCAAAGAGCAGGTGGARGCAAGGGGAATTAAGCTGAGGAGTGGAGAAGCTGAGGGAAACACACACTGGGGGCAGAATGAGAACAAGGGAGACGCTCTGGCTCCTCACACACAGCCCTTTCAGACTCCCAAAACAGCAGATCAGAAATGCAATATTTCAAATGATGGGAAAATCACCAGGRTTCACACAAACACAGGACCAGACAAGATGTGAAGTGTGTCTAGTCAGTAAAAGCCAAAAGGTGAAGGGTTTATTGTAAAAATGGTAATAAAATATGCAATTACGGTTAATAGAAATGGTGTCTTACATACATGCAGTGATTTGTCCAACAAAAAAAGAAACCACTCATGGTTTTGGTTGTGTTTGTTCCTCTAATGGAACTCTACGAGGGACAGCAKGTAAACAATCCCTCTTTTGCTGGCTTTTAACTTAATAATCCAGGGAATCATCACAGGTTAATATAACAGACACATAATTTCAAACCTTCATCAATGACACCACCCACTAATTACAAATGCAGAAGGAAGATAATTCACAAGTAGACCCTGAGCAGTGAAATACAAGTGACACAAACCATGCAGGGCACAAATGATCTTCATTTCCCGCTGCAGACACATCTGTGATTTCCCCCAAACAAATCAGCTACCAGAACTTCATTCACAAGTGCAACTAATACACTCTTGGATTTATGAGATGAGCAGCCAGTGCAGGAGTTGTGAAGCAGAACTGTATTTTTCCATGAAGCAGCAGCATTTGAGACTCACACAGGGACTGCACAGAAAGACTGAATCAGATAAACTGCAGCCCTACTGCTCTGCTTTCACCGTGTTTTATTTGTGCCAAGCTCCTCATGTTCACAAGGAATATCTCTTCCAAAATAAAAAAAAAGGAAAGGAAAGAAACCTCTTAAGGCCAGAGGGCTGCGCTCACCAGCTGTTAGAACTAATGAAAAATACATTAGAGTTGTGGGTCAGGAAATCCTGACTCTTGATATCAGAGGGTTAATTGTTTCAAATCATGTTGGGTCAATTTGTGTTGCAGGAATTCTGCCTATTCTTGAAATGCCCTCTAATTCAGCACAAGGCGCTGTCAAGTAGGTTAGATCGGCTGCTGGATGCCTGTTCCAAATCCAGCACTGCTGCCTCTCTTCAGGCATCAAGCTGGAAAGGGAGAAGCTCMATTGCTGGCTGTGAAAAGATGGGAAGCATTCCCTTCCCATCCTCAGCTCTGCAGCACACTCAGGAATTCATTCCCAGAGCTGGGCAGAAATCTTTCYGGCAGACAAACCTGCCCTGACCATCAAAGCTGTACTTTCTGCCTCTCCTTCAACTACAAATACGAACTTTGGGACCAGGAACATTTGGGGATGGCTCTTCTGGGTTCAATTAGTTTGCCACCTCAGCATCCATCTTTCCCAGGTGCATCCTCCTTYCTGTGCCCATTCTGGAGATCGTGTGCTGCACTGAAATCTGGGCAAACAGCAGCTCCTTGCCTCTCCCAGTGAGGAGAGCCAGTCTGCACTGGGAAGGGAGGCATGGTCCAGGTGTCTGCCCACGTTCTGAGGAGACTGTGGCACCTGCGGAGCTCTGAATTCCAGAGCCAGGCTCCTGAGCGGGGTAAAATTCCCTCAAGTATTGCCATGGATTCTGTTTCAAGCTGACAGCAGCGTGCAAGCAGCACATGGTCTCTGCCATGGGTTTATCAAGCACCTAAAATTACTCGAGGTTACTCATACATAAAACAAGTATGAGTGAGAGGGAGGGCTGGAACTGGATCATCTTTCAGGTCCCTTCCAACCCAAACCATTGTGACTCTGACAAAAATCTTTCCAGAACACACTGGTTCTGGTGCTGAAAATCTGCCTCAASACACTGACAGTCACTTTCAACACTRCAGCAGAAAACTT